AAGCCATCATACATCAAACAATCATTCCAAAGGAGACTAAAAAATATGAGAGAAAGTAAGAGATAATGGATAATAATTTCTAGAATTAACAAATAACAGTAATAATTAGACTTCTAGAAACATGAGTTATAAGCACGGTAAATTAAAATATAGCCACATCTAGACACAGGGTAGGCAAAGCTAAAAAATATCAGGTTAAGGAATGCTTAAGGGCTGCTTTTAAACAACCAGGGAGAAAAAACAAAAACAAAAATAAACCTTACAAAGCAACAATAATTAGAAAATAGCCGACTTATTAAAACAATTAAAGTCATAATACCGTCAAAGGGCTGAGTAAAAATGACTATCACCTATAATTCTATAATCTATTAATTATCATTTTAAGAATAAGGGCAAATAAATACATTTTCAGATGAAGACCATGGGTTTACCATTATCTGCTGAAAGAAATATTAAAGAATATACTTCAAGCAGAAGGAAACTGAACCCAAATGGATTAAGTGCAAAAAGCAATAGCAAAATAAGAAATTAGTATAGTGAGTAAATCTAGAAACACAGAACTTATAAAATCTTCCTTAAAATAAAGCTACAATGTTGCATTTTTAAAATATTTGCAAAAACAAAACAACAAAACAAAACATAGCTTCAGCAAGATACTTTTCATGAAGAACAAAGCACCACACATGGAATCAGAAAATCTCAACTAAGAATCTATCTGGCTTTCTCTTATCTTGTCTTGGACAAAGGCCTTAGTTTCTTCAGTCAAAAAGTGAAAGCATTTAACTAGAAGATCTATAACATTCTGAACCAGTTCTGGATTTTATGCATAGAAAATAGGGTTCCTCAATTACCAGGACATCTTTCAAAACAGAACTAGATGTGACATAAATAAGTTCCAGTGAGTGAGTATATTTTTATAAAATATGATCTTAATAACTTCTGTTGAAAAAAGTAAAAATCTTAATTATGTTCTAAATAAACAATTATAATCATAAATGCCCATGCTAAAATTTACATTTGCTTAGACAGCGCTTTCTTCCCTAATAATAAAAACTAATAGGATTATAAAAGAAAATATGAAGTCCAGTCACTCAAAAAATATTTATTGAACACCTATTATGTATTTTCTAAAACACCTAAAAGTATTTTCTACACTGGTATATCCCAGGTGACTAAAATACCAGTATAGAAAATACTTTTGCCCAGCCAGGCATGGCTCAGCGGTTGAGCATCAACCTAGGATCCAGGAGATCGGGGTTCGATTCCCGTTCAGGGCACATTCCCAGGTTGTGGGCTAGGCAGCCAATCAATGACTCTCTCATCATTGATGTTTCTATCTCTCTCTCTCCCCCTCCTTTCCTCTCTCTGAAATCAATAAAGACATGTTTTTTTAAAAAAAAGAAAATACTTTTAAGCATACTGAAGATATGACAATTATACACAACACACACGTAATTGATAGGGAAATTATAAACCATTCTTTTCCCATTACTTTAGTTCTACAAGGATTTTTAAAGTAGAACTTCTAGTGTTGTTAATATTATTCCTAACAACAATAAAAATGTATTTTTAAAATATACAATTGACCCTTGAATAATACGGGTTTGAACTGCACAAGTCCACTTATACAAGGGTTTTTCTCAATAAATACTGTAAATATATTTTCTCTTCCTTATGATTTTCTTAACATTTTCTTTTCTCTAGCTTACTTTATTGTAAGAATACAGAATATATAAAATGTGTTCACTGACTGGTTATGTTATCAGTAAGGCTTCCCATCAACAGCAGGATATTAGTAGTTAGGTTTTGGGGGAGTCAAAAGTCACATGTGCATATTTGTTTGCATGAGGGTGAGGGGTTGCACCCCTAATCCCTGCATTGTTCAAGGGTCAACTGTACATCATTCAAAGCTGTTTAGTGGGAATTCACTTCTGACTGAATCACTACAACTGAACTCAAAAAAATATCCAAAATGATCTGGAATATGAACAGATCCTTAAAAAACAAAAAACCCTTGGGACTGCTTTATTTGTACCTGAAACAGCAGGTCCTCAACATCACTAAGATCACTACTGTGGAACAGACTAAGGAACTCTATCATTAGGAGCAGTCATAATGTCAGGAATAAAGTAAGGATACTGCTTTCTGTAACTATGGTTGCTCATTTCTGGAACAATTTATATACACATTTTCCTGTTCCTTATTCTGAATTGTACACTGCCAGTCACTCAAAAGAAAAAAAAAAATCTCAGACTAATAGAGGCCAAATTTAGGGAGGGAAATAAAAATCATCCTTCAGTCTAGGCTAAATGGACTGATTATACAAAGAACTCCATACATCCGAAAGCACACAGATGTCTGCACTAGTTCCCAGGGCTCAAAACAATACTAGTCATTCAATAGCTTTCCTTTTACATAAGCTGCTGTGAGAAAGCTCAGTCAGCTCTTCTGAACCTCATAACCCAGGATCTTGGAACTCTAATAAAGCCTACATTTTTCCTCAGCACTGTTTTCATGTACTTTCTCGGGAAAGAAAACTTCATTTTTTCCAAAAAGTAAATCTGGAAATCATTTCTTCTGTTTGATAAGTGATGTACTCAATCTAAAATTACTTTTCCATTAAAACCACAATCCTTAACAGAAAGCTAAGATCAACATGAAAGACTGTTTGATAGAATATATTTTTAAATGCATGAGTTTAAAATATAATTTTAAATACACTTCATCATGCTAATTATCAAATGTATACCATTTGGCTGCATTTTGTTTCCAGTTGCATAATTTTAAAAATAGCCATATGACACAAAATAACTTCCCAAAAATTAAAATAATAATAATAATAATAGAATTGGTGGAGTGGGGGGAATTTACACACACACACACAAACACACACACACACTCACTCACTCAACACTAACCACGGGCATAAAAAACATAGTTATTCTTCAAGGGACATCCCTTAGAAGCTTAATACTACTACTTTCTACCTTCACGGCATATTAGTGATTCTTCCAGTTCCTTCATCAGCTGAGTCTCTGGCAAAGTCTTGCCTTCAATTCTGGGAAGTATCATGGATAAATTAAAGCCACAGAAAGTCTAATGTGTTTTCAATCATATGGCAAACTTACTTCTTAAGACATTTATCAGACCTGCCATCCAGAAGTAGAGCTTATTAGTTTTAGGGAACAAAATGATAGTGATTCATTTCCTAATTAAATTATTAGATCCTGAATAGTCAAGAGCTGTCTATAAATTCAGTTTCCTTGAATATGTACTATCATGTAACCATTATCACATATAGAAATTATCAAATGCTGCTCCAGAATTGTGGTAATCGAGCTATTTTATCCACCCATCTTCCTTAAGAGCTCTGTGGCTCCTCTAATTCCTTTAACACTCTTCCCCTCTACATATACATACTACATAATGCAAATAAACATATTTCAAAGAAGGAAAAGTTCTCTCTGTCCCAAATTTTCTGTCCTTAAAGCTATTACCCCACTTTCTCCAACAGGAATACAAAAAGCAGAGCTCTGAACATATTAACCATTTAACAGATATTTAGGTGAATTTCCATCATCACCATTACAGTTATGACTAAATATGTCAAAAAAGAAAAAAGAACTATTTATCTTTTCATCAAAATATTACTCCCCAATGACCACCAAAACTCTGTGTGTCGTACAAAGCAGTAACCTCAAAAACATTTCAATACTACTTGAGACTTACAAACTTTGCTGGCAAAAAACAGATACCATTCCTCAAAACTATCTTGCAAGTTCTCAACAACCAAATTTGTCAATCAGTACAACTCACTGCACATCCAACAGCTGTGACCACCTCCTTGGGACACTCAACTCTTTTCCCTACCACAAGAGTCACTATCATCTTTTTTGATGCCTTATTAAATGACCATCTGACTGTAGCATGTATCTTAATGCCCCTCTAGAAAAATATATAATTTTTATATTATATAAAGCACATATAATATATATTTGTGTTTTCCAGAGTCCCTCATCCTAAAATTTCACTACACTATTGCCCATGTTTTCTTTCATAGTCAAATTTTTTCACTTTCCTATATGGCATCTTCTTTGTCACCAAATAAGGCCTGATATCAAGACAAAGGAGCACTTATAAACCTTTCTTTCATTTCCCCAAGTTTTATTTTATTACATAATATTAATAAACTCTCTTTTATAAATGAGTCTTAAAGCATTTCAAATATTTGAAAGTAAAAAAAACCAAAATATTGTAAGTTATTTACTGGTTATCTTTACATTTTAATCAGTTATTAATAACTCACTTCAGGTTCACGTTGAGACCATGACAGACTCTAGTATGACAATGTATTCCACAGAGAAATGTCAAGGAATGGTGTATGGGCAGGATTGAAGCACAGTAATAAAGAAGCATGTGGGAACACAATTCACATTCTCTACTGGGATTTACCCATAGCTTTAAGTTTCCCTTCTCATGTGAAAATAAACATTTATAGCAAATATATATTTAGCTAACTAGAAATGAATTGTTTAACAACTTAATTTTTATTTTTCATTCAACACTGCCATTAAATACTTTAAAGTTTAATATAAAAGACACTAGTATTACAAAATGACTGTATATAAAAAAAGTTGTAAGATGAAGATTTTTTCTATCATCTTGAGCTATCAAATACTACTCTTCTTAAGTCTTCATTCCTTCTTCTTTGCCTTCTAATTTATCCTCTCATAATTACAAAAAATAAATGGAGAAGAAAAACCAAGAACTATATATATGGCTATGCCATAAGTGATATTAGAAACACAAAACTACTGAAACGCCTTACTTTAAGAACACAACATAAATTCCCACATTCAAGTCTACTTGACAAAGAAGCCCAAATAATCTAAAATTTGGTTTCTGCGCTCTGTTTCCTCTTGGGGGTGAGAAGGGTCTATGCGAGTGGAGAGAAACCAGGAAGAAATGCAATATCCTTTGTAACATTACATAAAACTTACCCACTTAAAGGATCTAAGGCAATGGCTCTAGGTTGATCCAACTCTTGCCAAAATAAAACTTTTCGTAAAGATCCATCTAGATTGGAAACTTCAATCCGATTAGTTTCAGAATCTGTCCAGTATAATTTTTCTCCAAGCCAATCACATGCCAGCCCATCAGGAGATAATAATCCAGAAACGACAACATTCTGTTCACTCTCAGTTTTGTTAAACTCTGTTTGTTTAATGGCTTCTTCGCTGACATCACTCCAGTATATCAAGCCATGACCAAACACAAAGTCCACCGCAGCTGCATCCTCCAAGCCTCCAACTACAACTGTAGCATTCTCTTTGCCATTTGTAGCATCAACCAATCGTAAGTCCCGTCTGTTTGCATAAAGCAACAAAGGGGCCGCTAGAACAAAAAAAAAAGAAAAAGATGTAAGTAAATGGAAGTAAATGTATTTGTTCTTATAAATTGAGTTTCAAATCAGCATCAGTGAATAAATACTATAAAAAAAGAAAAGAAAATAGAAGACAGTCTTAAAATCTTTTCACAAACAAAATATTTTTTCAGCATTCTAAATATCAAAAAGTTGGAAGAGAGGGAATTGATCCTACCAGGACAGTCTTTTCTCGTTAAAATAGTCTGTCATAAAATTAAACAGTTTGACCATACCAAGAACTGGCAAAGATATGGAGCCAGCAGAACGCTCATACTCTACTGGAAGGAATGTAAAATGGTGCATCCATCTCAGAAAAACAGTTTGGAAGTTTCTTAAAAGATTAAACATACAGCCCTGGTCTGTGTGTCTCAGTTGGTTGGGCGTCATCCTGTGTACCAAAAGGTAGCTGGTTCAATTCCCAGTCAGGGCACATGCCTAGACTGCGGGCTCAATTCCCAGTACAGGGCATGCAGGAGGCNAGGTAGCTGGTTCAATTCCCAGTCAGGGCACATGCCTAGACTGCGGGCTCAATTCCCAGTACAGGGCGTGCAGGAGGCAGCTGATCAATGTATTGCTCTCACATCCATGTTTCTCTCTCTCTCTCCCCCTCTCCCTTCCTCTCTCTATAGAAATCAATAAAAATATGTATTTTTTAAAAGATGAAACATACAACCTTCAGTGTGATCCAGCCATACCATGCCTCGGTATTTATTCAAGAGAAATAAAAGCATATGTCAATACCAAAACCTGTACATAAATGATCATAGCAGTTTATTTATAATAACCTAAATCTGGATCAGCTCAAATATCAACAAACGAATGGATGAATAAATTGTGATATATTCATACAATAAAAAGTAATGAACTATTTATACATCTAATATGGGTGAATCTCAAAAAATTAAAAGTAGTCAGATAAAAGAAAAGTATATATTGCATGACTCCATTTATATAAAATTTTAGAAAATTCAAATTATTGTAACAGAAAGCAGATCAGTAGTTATCTGGAGGTCAGAGTAGAAGATGAAGAATGGGAGGCAGGAATTATAAAGGGGCATGAGGAAACTTTTGTGGGTGATGGCTACATTATTTTGACTATGATGATGGTTCCAGAAATGTATACATGTCAAAATGTATTAAATTTTATACTTTACATATGTGTAATTTATTGTATAGCAATTATACCTCAACAAAACTGTTAAATAAATCGTCTGGCAGAGATAGTTGTTAATACAACTATTTTATTCTCTTTTATATTATTAGAATGGCCTCTGAATAAGACCTAATACCAACACTAAATAGTATTTAACTCTGAGAAAGCTGAAGCTACTATTAGGACTGAAGTAGTACAAATTTTATGGTTTGGGTTTTTTTTTAACGTATTTGTTCCAAGCTTCAGACATTTACTTTCCTAGTATCAAAAGTAACTAAAGATCCAGAGCACCACTACCTAACAGAACTTTTTGTGAAGACAAGTGTTCTCTCTACTATGCAATGCAGCAGCAACTGGCCACATGTGACTAGGGAGCACTTGAAGTGTGACTAGTGTGACGAAGAAAAAATTTTAATTTTATTTAATCTTAATTTGTTAAAATTTAAATAGACAAGTGGTCATATAGCACAGGCTGAGGGGAAAAACACAAATGAGGCAGCAAAAATAAGACCAGTCATGATGTAAAAATCCACATGGTCTTCTCTCACAATTACTTACTAAAGGTTTAAAATGTGTCATCCAAAGCCAAGACCAAGTACCATTTAAAAGCAACCACTCCCTTTTTTTTAAGAAATTCATTTCAAAAATTAAGGTGCTAAAAAAAGTGCTGTTTAATTAAGCCAATTTACGGACTATGTCTGCCAAATGGAGCTATGAAGTCTACTAATTACAAACATTAACTTCTCGTCTAAGCTTAAATCCAACCTTCTTAGTCAAAAACAAATGAGCAGATAGCTTTTTTTTAAAGTGAATAAGAGTTCTTTCTGCTTATTTCGTGTATTTACTGCTGCTATTGGCAAATTAGTAAATTTCCCTCAAAGATTTACTTTTAATTCATTTCAGGCTTTCATACATCACACTGATTTATCAATCCCTACAGTGTCCACTGCATTATCTTAGAACAGCCCCTCATAATATGGGCCAATTATAAAAATCATAAAAAAGGTTCCTATGAGTTAAGGGTAGAATGCTAAATGCTGCATAGGGCTAAGAAATAGTCCCAGTGCACTTACAACTTAAAATCCAAGAGTGGTAATAATCTAATACTTACTGGGCACCTTTCTTTATGGCACTATTCTCGGAAAACTGTGTGCCAAGTATGTGTACGGAACGAGGTGACAGCTAAATGTCTCATGACTTTCAAGTCAAACATTAACATTGCTACTGAACTCTTTGTCTACAAAATCCAAAGAAACTTTCTGGTCATTTAAGGCCTCCTTCATAGTACAAGAAAAGAAATAAAAATGGTGCGTGCGTGTGTGTAAATTAGCAGTACTGGTTATAATTAAGGATTTCTAAAGAACTGTATGTAAACCTACACATATTGAAAGGAAATCACGGAGTTCATCCTAACTACCCTTCTGATACTTGAATACTTTCTACCATATTGTCACCAATATCTATTCAGCAATATATTAATGGGATATCTAAAAGATATAATTTGATTTGCAATACTGTTTTAATCGACTAAATATACTGGATCCACACATACTTGTCCCTAGTTATAGCATATATGCACTCAATATCTTCCATTCCAAAGAAGTAACCTTCTGATCCTAATACCCAGATAACCCAAATAGCCACCATCAAATAGCCACCATCATTTCTTTAGTGGAACCTACATGGGTACATAGGAATCCTTACTTTCCTTTATTAACTTCCTACCAAACATTTGCTAGCAGCCTTTCTAAACTTGTTCTGCACTCCTGAAGACAACTTTCATGCTCTGAATTGTTCATTCTCAGATCACCTTCTAATATGATCTCAGTGAAGCAGGGAGCAAGGAAAATGTCTTACATCCTCAATATCTTAATTTCAACTTCTCAAAAATCCCTCTATACCCCATCCAATTCTCCATTACCTTGTCCTCAGTCTCAAATGACAAGTTGCTCTTCCTCCTTACTAAGGTTAAAGCAATACTTTTGGTTCAGCCTCCCTACCTCCACTCTGCAACTTTGCTCTATCAATTGTTCGCCATGTCTTGTATCTTTGATGGCTCCTGCCAGGTGCCTGCTATCAAAAAACTGTTTTAATAACCCTAACCTTGCTATCACCAATAAAATAACTTTATTTCTCCTAACCACAAAATCTTAAATATTGGTGTACATTTCATACCACCATCTATTAGCTATTAACTCCCTTCGTCTAACTTCCAATCCACCACTCAAATGAAACTGCTTTCTCCAACTCTTCGTAACCAAATCCAATGGCCTTTTCTCAGTCCTTATTCTTGACCTTTCTGCAGCATTCAATATAGATATGTTGACCATATCCTTACCTATGTAGAGTGTTCTGCTCTTATTATACTATTATTCTTGTTTTACTGGTCATGCTTTGTCTGCCTTTTTGGCTTCAAATCTTCCTCCCACTTCCCAAATATAGGTATCCCCAAGATTCTCTGTTATCCAAATAAGAGAATATAGAAAATTATTCAAGTTCACCAGGTCAACAAACAACTCTATTCAGGTGATTTTCAAATTATCATCTCCAGCCTAACCTTCAGTTCTGTACCTATAACTTTTTGTTCGCCATCTCTTCCTGCCATTAAAATTCTTTACCTTTTCCACCCACCCCTGCCAAAAACGAAAAACAAAAAAATCTTCAAAAGTCAATGGTACCACAATTTTCCTAATCTTACTAGCCTGCCTTGGAGTAGTCTTTGACACCTCCCTTCCCCCCAGTCTGCCAAGAATCATGTTGATTCTTCCTTAACCTATCCTCAAATCTGCCTCTTCCATTTTTAGAACCACTATCCTACTCTAGATCTTTATGTCCTAAACTATCCTAATAGGAAGTGATCTCAACACTCTTCCTTCCCTTTTCTACTTTTAATACTTCAACTTTATCCAACTTAAAAAGCTTTCTAATTTCCTTTACCTAAAATAAAAAGCCTCAATACCTTAGGTTTTCACCAGGTGAATGTGCCTATGACTCTACCTTACTTATTATAGTCTCTGCATCATACAAACTGGTTTTGAACACATCAACTGTGAGCACATCATATTCCATCACCACAATGTATTCATTTTCCTGCCCACTCCATACTTTTCTCTCATTATCCCAGCAAGCAAGTCCGTCAAGGCCAGATTCAAATCTTATCTATTCCAAGAATCTTTCCTAGTACCTCAGCTTTCCTTCTTCAAGCCCTCAGGGTCTTTGCCACTTTTTTGATATTAGCATTTTTTAAAACTGATTTTAGAGAGAGGGAGGGAGAAGGAAAGGGAGAGAGAATGGGACAGGGGTAGATGGGGAGACAGGCAGAAGGGGAGAAGGGGAGAGGGAGTGAGAGAAAGAAACATCAATTGCCTCCCACACGTTCCCCAACCAGGGATGGGACCTACAACCTGGGTATGTGTCCTGACCAGGAATCAAACCTGCCACCTTTTGGTGTATGGGACAATGCTCCAACCAACTGAACCACACCAGCCAGGGCAGTATTAGCATTTTTAAAAGTGTACTTCCTATTTTAACTAGGATCTTTACCCCTTGGGAACAGGAGCCATATCTTATAACTCATTTTATCCCCAATCCCTAGAACAGTTCACTGCACAATAGTAATATGGTAAACATATTAACTAATATTTAAAAGAAGTTTTCCATAACTTGATCTAAAAATATACTTATCATAAACCCAAAAGGATTTTACATTAAGTACTTGCCAAATGCTCACAAATGCCCATTACTTACCCACTAAATTGGCTTGACCCCTAAACTTTATCTAGTGCTAAGCTTAAACAAGGCAATGAAGAACTCTTT